TGGCACCAATCTGCCTCCGACTGTCGCCGCAACGACCGTGGCGCAATGGCCGCGGCTGCGCCAGCGGCACGGGGCCTGAGGGGGGGCACTTGGCCCCCCACACGCCTGGCGCGGCCCCGGCTTGGGCCAGACTTGGCGGGGACAAGCGCGGCAGGGCCAGGGCTGCAGGTACAGCGCGGCGGCTCCGGGGGCTGGCCGGACACGGCCCGGCAGGGCGCGGGGCAAAGCCTTTGTTTCTCTGGCTGCATCCATCCTCCTGTCTTTGCTTTGCGGCACAACCCAAAACCACTGTGGCAAGAAGAAAAAAAAAATCTGCTTCCCAGACAGTCAGCCTCCAGCAGCTATTGATGCATACAATATTATTGATGCATGTCCCAGGTACAGGACTTCTCATTTCCCTTTGTTGAACTTAATCAGATTTCCCTCAGGCCAATTCTTTAGCCCACCAAGGTCCCTCTGAATGGCACAAGCATTTGGTGTATCAGCTGTTCCTGACAGTTTTGTATTGCCTGTGAACTTGCTGAGAGCAGTTGGTTTCCAGAGGAACCCAGAGCTGGGAGTGGCTACTTTGCTCACCTGCTTGCACAAAATTTGCAAAATGGGAATTTCATTTGTGGAAATGGTGATCAGGGGTGTTTTCCAAGAAATGGGCTGGCAGAGAGAGGCAGATGTTGTGCTGAGCTGGCTGTGTGTTTCGGTCACGGGGAGGGTCAGAGACATAGATGCAGACACCAGCTGAAGGAATAGTGTTATTTACTGTCATACAAGAGTGCAAAAAATCCCCATAAAAGGATAAGCTAACCAATGCACCTCATCATTTTTACAAAAGGTTGCCTCTAGTGATTAAGAAAAATCCTTTCCTCTTCATCCAGATCCACACATCAGCTGGAGGAAGCTGTCCCAGCCAAGCCCTGGAGAGCCACAGCTGGGAACTGGGAAATCGTGCAGTGCCTCCACCTTTGCTGGCCACAAGGCTTCTGACTGCACTGGCAGAGTAGCTTGGGTTTGATAGTGCTGAACGAGCGATCTGACAGAGCTTCTGGCGTGGGACATCTGATTTCATTCTCCTCTTGGTTTTATCCCTGAGCCTGGCCTGGACTCAAGGAGGAACCAAGGCCAGGTGTGGCCTTGTCCAGTTTCTTAATGCTGAAAGGTGAAGATGTGTTTCACCAATGAATGGATGCATAGATCATGTTGATAGTACTACTTGGTTAAGGAGCCAATACATAGAATATTTGGTTGGAATGGTCATCTAGAGAGCAGCTGTGGCTCAGGGCCTGTTGTTCAGGCCTTAGTTCTTCAGTATTTTGTGGTGCAAATCAATGCTGTGTGGAGCTGGAAACAAACAAGTCCCTCTTTAGCACATATCAGACAGCGAACAGGATTAGCTCTGCAAGGCTGGGCTAGGGCCAAGAGCACAAGTCCAGCATCCTGCATTTGCCCGCAGGCAGCCGTCCAGACCGAGAAGGCCACTGATGCCGAGGGGCTGAGGTGCCCGAAACTGCCTCCCTGCTTGCAGTTCTTCAGAGCCCATGGAGCAAAGAGCCTGGCTGCCTTGGAGCACAAAGCGTATCCCAGAGAAGCTGCTGCCTATTGCTTTGTAAATGTTTCTCAGAGTCTTGTCATTAATCTCCAGTGTCTGACATGTTTTCTTTTTCTCTCGCAAATTTAAGGCAGCTTTTTGAGAAAAGTGACTGATGGAGCTTCTGCTGGTGGTGCTGCTTTTGTCTGCATGTCAGGGCAGGTGATTTAAAGCAAGGGTGGAGTCCACAGTTGGTAGAGAATATTTTAGCAGAACAAGGCCATGATATTTTAGTAAAAGCCTGTCTGCACAAGCCAGCTTTCAATCCAGGCGACAATATTATTCAATAACAAATTCAATGTCCTTGAAACTCTCCTGGACCAGCGAGAATAAAGAAAAACAATGGCATTGTGTACTGGGAAAAGAATGTAAAACAGTATGTATTAACCAATAACAGTATGCTAAGCCCACATACCCTGTCAGACCCTATAAAAATGTGCTAAAGATACAAATAGATGACATTCACTATACTTCTGTGAAGACTCAATGATTAGTCTGAGCAGTTTTCCAGTAACAGTTAACACCCCCATTTTGCCAAGTCAAGAAAACCATTCACAACTCAACTACTGATGCTAAGCAGCTTTCCTAGATTTTGGAAAGTTACGACTTTAAAAAAACCAACACATTTTCCTCCATGAGGATACCAGGAGTGGCAAGGTGCCAATTTTCTGCACCTCTTTTCTGTATCTTTGGTGCTTTTAAGAGTTCCTCAGTGCCCAGCAGGAATGAAACTACATGAGATAAATATAAGTGATTTGAGAGCTGTGCTGTGCCTTGCCACATCGGTGTTCATGACAAGCTGGACACCCCACCTGTGGGTCTGTTGAGTTAAATTCATCCCAATTCTGTGCAAACAGCAGCCCTGAGATGGTGAGAAGAGCAAGGACAGTGGGTGGGTGTGCATGTACACACCAGTGGGCAGAAGGTTTTGGACAGTAGTACATCTTCAGCTCCCAAGTTGGAGAAGTATATCAAATCTATATGAAATGAAAATATTTATCAAAATATATAGAAATACGTATTTATCGTATAAGTAATTTATCATCTATAACACAACACATTCTATATTTTAGTATATATACTATAATAAATAGATTATATGAAATGCATACTTGATCTTTTCTTAAGCCATTGCCTGTAGGTGATATAGACCATCTCCTAGCACTAGGAGTGTTTGTGCCTTCTGGTACTACTTATTACAGCATCAGCTTCCCTGGGAGTTACTTCAGGGAACCTTACACAAAAATCATTTTAGCACTTGTGAGAACTTGCTGATTCCCAGTTCTCCAGCATCCTTCTGGATTTTGGACCATTTCAGCACCTGTGTCCATGGCCCTTCCTTCACCCCCAGCCTGCAGCAGTCGTAGTCACTTTCCCTTCCCCTTGCTCCAGCTCATTTGCCAAAATGCTGCCAAAGGTAGCAAGGATCCCTGTTGGCTTCTGGTCTCCAGGATGACATTCAGAGGGACACTTGGAGCACTTCTTAAAGGGCTGCCTGTGGGATGGGGGTGGATTTGTCCTCCCCAGGTGGCTCCTAGTTGGAGTTCTACGCTCATTGGAGTCTCAGAGCATACTGGTTTTGCAAGGCCTGCTTTTAGGTAGCAGGGGGACCACAACTATGGCTCCTGTGAGAAGCTGCTGGAAGCTTCCACTGTGTCTGACTGAGCCAATGGCTGATGGCTCTGAAGATGGACATGCTGCTGACCAAAACTGGGACAATGAGAGGGGTTGGTAACGCCTCTGTGGCCACATATTTAAGAAAAAAATTGGAACAAAATCATGGGTTTTGCCTCCAGGCAGAGAAGAGGAGGAGGGGAGAACATGTGAGGGAAGCAACATGGAGACACCAAGGTCAATGGAGAAGGACGGGCAGGAGGTGCTCCAGGCACTGGAGCTGAGGTTCCCCTGCATGGCTGTGGTAAAGACCGTGGTGAAGCAGCCATGCCCCTGTAGCCCATGGATCCACGGGGGATGCAGAGATCCACAGTCAGCCCATGAGAGAGGTGCCCATGCCAGAGCAGATGGATGCCTGGAGGAGGCTGTGATATGGCGGAAGACCCAGTGGAGAGCGAGGGTCCTTGCTTCCAGGCTGGAGCAGCTTGTCCTTGGAGGACTGCACCCTGTGGGAAGAGTGACCCATGCCACAGCAGTTTTGAAAGGACTATCTGCCTGTGGGAGGAACTCATGTTTGCAGCAGGTGCTGCCTGTGAGAGTGGACCCACACCAGAGAAGTTCATGGAGAACTGTCTCCCCTGGGAGGGAGCCCAGGGGAAGGACTCCTCTCCCAGAGCAGTGGAAGATGATCTCGGTGATGAACTGACCAAAATCCCCGTGCCCTGTCTCCCTGCACTGTCCGTGGGAAGGAGGGAGGGGCTGGGGGAAGAAGGTCTTTTAAGGGCTTATTTTACTTCTCATTATCCCCCTCTGATTCTGTTAGTAATAAATTCACTTTGCAACTAACACTCATGAAGCCTTTGTTAACATTTTTTTCCCTTTGCCCTCCTTTGCCCAGCTGTGGCAGGGGAGGGTGAGCGAGCAACTCTGGTGGGTGCCTAGTGTTGGGCCAGTGTCAAACCACAATACCAAGTTTACTCAGCAGACCTCAGGAGCGAGCTCTTAGCCAACGTGTGGCTCTGCTGCCATCCCAAATCTGCGCTTTCCTTGCCCAGCCTGAGCACAAGTGGGGCATGCGCTGGTGATGGCTGGAGATTTTCATGGCCAAAATCCTCCAGCATCATCACGTTTACATCTGGCTCATTGCTCTAGATAGCACAAATCTACATTTCTTTCAGTTGAAACACTGAATTTCTTGCAGATTGTTACACCCACACTACGGGACCTAACTATAGTCAAATAAGAGATTTTTAGGCTTCAGGCATTAGCTTGAGCCAGTGTGAAACTTGTTCTCACTCTGGCCTGGCCGTAAGGAGGAATCCAAACAGTCCTTAGAGAAGGAAAACAATATTTGCAGGTCTTGTTTGGATCCTTGTTGTTTACTTGCAAATGTCCCAATTGTCCAGTGATGGTGATGTATTAGTTTAATGACCAGTCAGAGTTTTACCTTTCGGACCTTCTTGGAACTGTCTATAAAAGAAGATCTGGAAGACTCAAACTTGCTCTCTTTTGCAACCAAAGCCAAGAGAGTCTGTGTTGTGCTTCTGCATTTCCTAATACATTGCGACACCAAACTACTAATGTTCAAGTAGACAAAAGCAACTTAAGTTTAAAAATGAAATTTATTTTAAATTGCTAGACCCGTGCTGCCAACATATAAATATACAAATATCAATTACATTTTAAGAAACTAATTTATTGTTACAATCATGCTATGTAAATATATACAGATATCAACTTCAGTTAAAAAATTAATTTATTGTAACCCTGCACAGTCACTCACTGTAAGCAAATAAGAACTGAGGTTTAACAATTTAATTTATTACATAGTACTATAACAGTACAGCCTATGTACAAATACAGAAATATCAATACCCCTCTCTAACTAACTCCAGGTTCAGAATGAAATTAGTGTAATTTCAAAAACTATATAATTCCATATGTATTTAAATATAACTAAGTAAATAAACAATCATAACAACGTACAGTGAAAATATGTATTAAGTGTTACAAATTACATATAACAAGATACACAGAAACATATACATAGGA